CATTTTGGTTTGTGCCAAAATCAAAGTTTTCTTCTTGATTTCTTAAGGTCAAGGAGGATCTAGCAAATCCCTCATTGGTTCCTTGTGATTATCTTCATGTAGACTTCTTGGGTTCGATCCTACACTTGGATTGGTAGCAAACGCGTTCAGAGACAATATTCGTGGAGCTTCCAACATGGGTATGAATCTAAACTTTAGATTTATTTTCTGCAGATTCTTGTTGTAATATATAAACTATAATTTTCTGTGTCCTGATTTTGGGTTCTAAGGAACGATCCATGGTTGTAAAAATTTTGTTTTCCGCTACGCAATTGGGTCGTTTCCTAACAACAGACGCTTTCTCGCATAATACACAAGTCATTAGACCCTATCCTCTTACCGAATTAAGGTTACACTGACTGCGAACTGAGAGACGAACAGATACAGGAGGAGGATCTCCTGCGGGAAAGGCTTGGACAGAAGGGGTGGCTTCCCGAGGTGTTCTTTAATTCTCTAGAATGCCTGTTCGCACTCGGGAGTCTACTCGAACTTTTTATTGGCCCTTAGAACATTGAAGAATGGCAAGCAGCGATCTGTTGCCCTCGATATGAAGTGACTTAGCGCCGTTATTCGCCCATTAAGGCTCATTACCTGCTTTTTGTTGGTCGGACATTTCATGTCGAGGAAAGCTTGGATTTTCTCGGGGTTGATCTCTATGCCCCGTTGGTTAACCATGTATCCTACGAATTTTTCCGAGGATACTTCGAATGAGCACTTGAGGGGGTTTAACTTCATTCTGTATTGTCGGAGGATGTCGAACATCTCAGCGAGATGCGTTATGTGATCTAAAGCGACATGGGATTTGACCAGCATGTCATCTACATAGACCTCCATCGATTTTTCGATCTGTTTGGAGAACATTCTGTTAACCAACCATTGGTAAGTTGTGCTAGCGTTCTTGACATAACTCTATAATAGTACAGCCCCCGATCTATAACAAAGGATGTATGCTCTTCGTCCGGCGAGTATATCGGAATTTGATTGTATCCCGAGTACGCGTCCATAAAACTCAGCAGCTCATGCCCTGAGGTGGCATCCACGAGCTTGTCGATCCTGGGAAGGGGAAAACTATCTTTTGGGCATGCCTTGTTAAGGTCAATGAAGTCGACGCAAGTTCGCCATTTGCCGTTGGGCTTCTTTACTAGAACCGGGTTGGCAACCCAGGTCGGATAGAGCACTTCTCGGATGGACCCATTTCGAAGAAGGTTATCCACCTCAAGTTTTAAGGCAGCATATCACTCCGAATCCATCGCTCTTCTCTTTTGGCGAACCGACTTGGCTTCACTGTCGATGTTCAATGCATGGCAAATAATATCCGGGTTGATCTCGACCACATCCGCATGTGACCATGCAAACACATCGATATTCTCTCTGAGGAAGCTGGTCAGTTCGATGGCGAGCTGGGGGTTGAGATTGCTCCCAATCCCTAACACTCTGCTCGGCTCGCTCTAGTCGACCAATACTTTAGACAGATCTTCAATTGGCCCACTGGAAGGGCATTCCTGAATACGAGGATCTATATTATTCTCGACTGGGCCAGGCTATGGCTCGATCCAGCTGATCGCCATCGCCTATCGAGGAATGCCACGCGAGATACCTTTCCCTTTGCACCCCATCTGCACTACTTTTACGTAACAATCACGAGATGCATGCTGAGATTCGCTAACTTCCCCTATCCCCGTCAGGGTGGGGAACTTCATCTTCAGATGGTATATCGAAGTGACTACCTTGAAGTTTCTCAGCAGAGGTCACCCCAGGATACCACTAAAAGCGGATGGGCAATCCATTACCAAGAATTTAGTTACCTTGGTCACTTCGTCAAAGTCACCCAGCGTGACTGGAAGCAAGATCGTTCCTTTGGGGATCAGGTGGTCCCTTATAAAACCATATAGGGGGATCGAGGCAGGCTTCAGGTCGGCCTCGTCCAATTTCATTCTTTAGAAAGCTGTTTGGAATAGGATGTTCACAGCACTTCCGTTGTCCACCAACATTCTATGGATGTTATGGCGCCCTATTAGGGGCGTGATCACAAGAGCGTCATCGTGGGGATGATGCAATCAAACTGCATCCTTTTTGGAGAAGGTAATTTCCTCCTTCCTACGAACCTTTTGTTGTTGTCGCGTCGTGCTCATCACACTGATAGGGTCGTGATGGACTGCGCGAGCATACCTTTCCTGGGCACCTCGCGGGGAATCCAAAGATCAAATTGACGTTGCATATACCTTTGCGATCACATCATTTCTTTCCTGGTTCCCCTTGATTTTTCTCTTGTGCGGGAGTGGAATCATCAATATATTCCTTGAAATGCCCCTGCTTGATGAGGTCTGCCTATTTGAGAGCTCGACACTCATTGGTGTGATGCCCATTATCTCGATGAAAGCGACAGTATTTCTTACTATTTTTGGCTGACGGGGGATTTTTTATGTGCTCAGGCTCTCCGAGCAAGCTGGCTTCTTCTGACTTGTCAAGAATAGCCGATACAGACGCATTCAAAGGCGTATACTGATTTCTGTCATAATCGCGACGAGAAACGGGAACATAAGACTTTTTGGGCTCATAGCGCGGTTTATTTCCTTTTCGTTGATCATCAATAGCCCATCTGCGATCAACTCTCCTACTTTCCTCCTGACCAGGCGCACTACCTGAAACATTGGGGTCACGGCGGTGGAGTGCCGCCACGGAATTCTCAATACGAAGGTACTTCTCCGCAATGTTATAGAAGTGGGTGAGGGAAACATCATCCTCAGCCTATAACTCTTTCCACATGTCGGTCTGTGGGCGGACTCCCACTATGATGAGAGTCCGAACAGACTCTTCGGGAGTGTGAGCTATCTTATTAAGTTCTCTGTGGAACCGGTCGATGTAAGACTAGAGGGATTCATCCCTCTCTTGCCTTATATTGCTGAGATAGCTCAAAGGCATTGAGAACTTTCAGTTTGCTTGGAAATGCCTTAGGAACGTCATGCTTATCTGAGGCCACGAGCTAATCGATCCCGCTGGGAGCGACCTGAACCATCGTTTGGCATGAGAGGTTAGAGTTACTGCCAAACAACGACACTTTGCCAAATCTGAAACCTGGTGAAGTTCCATCAGGTCGTTGAATTCGTACAAGTGATCCTACGGATCAGAATTTCCATCAAACACCCGCATGTCGGGCATTTTAAATCTTGACGGGAGAGGGGCAGCTAATACTGCCGGAGAAAAATGAGACGCTGATGCGACCTGCCCTTGCTCATTTTGTTGAACTTTAAGCTGGTCTAGAGCACGCTACAGCTCCTCAATCTGGGGCAACGGAGCTATTTGGGGATTACTTTCACCCATCTGAGTTCAACCCTCACGATTGCGAATGAGGAAAGTCCGGTGGTCGGATCCACTTCGCCTCGGCCGGTAGTTCTGACCGCTCTCGACACACGCTAGCTAGAGCCGTGTGATGGCAATGAATGGTGCGGGGAATTTTCACGACCTCTGCGGTGGTATGAACCGCCCCGCGGAGTATGGGAACCTCCTGCACGACTATGATTAGGATTGTGATTAGGATTGCTTTTATGGCGGTAATGAGAATCACCCCGCCTAGCACTTTTACGGGGGTTTTCATGCGACGCAGCATGGGACGGCTCTGGCTGTGACTTTTCACTGAGTCTTAACGCCACAGGTATTCTATTTGAGACGTGGTCAGTGTTCGCCGGCCCTTTAGTGCCCTTAGGCCCATTTTTCGCCACTTGCTTACCCTTCTTTCGGCGCGCTGCAGTGCTCGCGCCATGGGCTATCGCCCTTTGCCATGCTTTCGCAAGACCAGCAGGCGTTTTTGGCGGTTGCACCGCCTCATTTGATTTGGGTGGCACGCCCCGGTCCAAACGGTCCAACCTTCGGTTGACCGTCTGAAGAGTATTGTCAAACCTCTCCAGGTAGCTTCTGATGGCAGGGTCAAGTTGTGAACTTGAAGGAATATCCCTTGCGACATTTTGCAGAACCGAAGGTACCTCAGGAGAGGTGTCCTCCTGTACTCAGGGGATCTCTTAGCACCCTGATTGGTTCGCTCAAGTTAAAGTCGGCGAGCCATTTGCTGTTGTAGGACCAGTAAGTTAAGAGATTCTCCTGATGAAGGACGGATACTAAATCAGACATTTCTTCTAGCGCCAAACTGTTGATGCGTGATTTTGACACCAACCAAATACACGTGTGAAATGCTGAGCTGGCCCAGAAGACATACGCGGTGAAAGAATGAGTAAAAACAATAGGGAACAATGTTTAAAGTGGTTCGGATGCTAAGGAAGCAAATCCTACGTCCACTGATTTTGTATTAATGATAGTGGTCAGGTCGCGTTCAGCGGACTGACTTACAAATGATTATACAATAGATAGAATGCTATTTTTTTTTTTTAGAGAGATTAGCTAATCCTTTAAATGAGAGAGGAGCTCTCAATTTATAGTGGGATGGATTAAGGTTATCATTACTAAATCTGCGAGTTGGTGGGATTATTCATGCAAATCCTTCTTTATGTCCCATTGCCCACCTTTTAGATCGATTTACGCGATTTAGTGCAGTGATTAGACACGTGGAATCATTCTAGCTCCTGGCTGGTTTGACGCGCACCCACTACCCTGACAGGAGCATGCTGCCCCTGTCATTGTGTGACGTGGCTTCCTCTGACTGGCTGCGGGCCTACCTAAGCTTTGACTTTTTACACTGACTGGGTCTTGCATCAGCCCTACTTTTTTAGGCATAACATCTGGTTTTGTGTTTCTTTTAAGGTTCTTCTAAATCCTTTACTTTAAAAAAAAATAAACAGGTATTTAAAATTCAAATTTCAATTTTTCATTGTAAATTTAATAATTGAATAGGTAACATAATTATTCTCTGATAAGCAGTTATATGTTGGCTTTTTCTGAGACGCCGTGTTAATATGTACTTGCATGCAGACAACCAACGCTTGGCAATCGCAGTTGCTGACATCAAGAGAACCACTCTTTATGTCTTTACAAGTAGAGAACTACCTCAGTTTCATTTTAATGGAGAATTCATTTCTATATCAATCTTTATTCCAATGGTTTTGGATTCTAATGCCACTGGTTTCATGTAGTGACAAAAATATCTCTTTGAAAGGTGAAACGGATACATATGAATCTCCTTTCCCGGAAAATTTCCTCTTTGGAACTGCATCTTCTTCTTATCAGGTTCTTTCTCACTGAACAAAAATACAGTTTTATTTATCCATTTATAATTATCTGTTATGCTTGTATTTTATTTATGCAGTTTGAAGGGGCTTTCTTAACTGATGGTAAAGGCCTTAGCAACTGGGACAATTTTACTCACCAACCTGGTTAGAGTTGCTAATTATATATGTTTTACAGCTTCATTATTTATTTGATGCCTTCTTTTCAACAACTTCTGTTTCTTCTTTGTTTTAGGTAATATCATGGATGGAAGTAATGGAGATGTTGCTATTGATCATTACCATCGATATCTGGTAACTCCTTTTTCCACTAACCATTAAAAGTTATCACTTGTTTTAATCCCTTAACGGACTTAGTTTATAAAAGATTTTGAGATGAAATTCCGTTCATACCAGGGTGATTAAAGAGGGGTTTGATAAAAAAATATAATTAAAGGAGATTTTATTGGTTAAATTGTCCAGTTGATTGAAAGTTTTGGGTGTAGACAGCTAATTGTGGATGTGTCCCACCCTGTTGATTTGAAATCCCACTTGTCCATGGCGTCTTGGTTTAAAATCTAAAATTATTTCTCTTTGTGATTTGGCTTTTCTTTCTTTTTGTAGCTACTTTTATACTGACTTATTTTGAGCCCATTTAGTCATCAGTCATTTTTTCTTTTCTGTTGTGGGACTTGTACATGATCTCGTGTATTCAATGCTAAACAACTCAAAAAAATTCAGTCAATTTTATCATGACAAATTGAGAAAATTATCTGTTTGGTTTTTGATGATATGATCAAGCAGGAAGATGTGGATCTCATGGATTATGTTGGAGTCAATAGTTACCGTTTCTCTATATCATGGGCAAGGTTTTTTTAGTTCTTCTAAATGTATGAACATTTAATTGTCTAGTTGTATCATTTTTTCTATCTCTAACTCAATGTCATCTTAACTTTGAAAAAGAGGGAAGATTCGGAGCTGTGAATAAGGCTGGCATCGATCATTATAACAAGTTCATCAATGCTCTTCTGCTCAAAGGTCAATTCAAAACTCTAATACCATAACTTATGTAATCTAAAGTAATCTAACCATATAATTAATCTGATCAAAACTGTGGGAAAAATTTAAACTTCGGCAAGATGTCAAGTGAAAGAAACGTTATCATTATAAGCATCTAAATGATTTTAAGTATCATTCTTACTTAATTACCTCTACTTAAATGTTCATTGCTTCTGATTTCAGGGATCCAACCCTTTGCGACATTGACTCATTATGACATTCCTCAGGGACTTGATGACAGATATAGAGCTTGGCTAAGTCCTGAAGTGCAGTGAGTGGCAACACTCTCTCAATATTGTTACCTATCTTGCCTAATTTATAAAGGAATGGCCTGCCACTAAAATGCATTATGCATTTTTCAGGGAAGATTTTGAATATTATGCAGACATTTGTTTCAAATGCTTTGGAGACAGAGTGATGTACTGGGCCACCTTCAACGAACCCAATGTTGCAGTCATTCGTGGCTATAGGTCAGGGATTTACCCACCATCTAGATGCTCTGGCCTGTTTGGGAATTGTATTAATGGGGATTCAGAGAGAGAGCCTTTTATTGCAGCTCACAACATTATCTTATCTCATGCAGCTGCTGTCAGTATATACAGAACTAAATACCAGGTATATAGGTAGATATTCAAAGTCTTGGCTAGGACTTTTCTGTTCAGTGATTGGTAGTCAATTGAGCTTTATTCTAAACCATAATGCTACCAAAATATTCAGAAAGAACAGGGAGGTAGCATTGGTATTGTTGTGAATACCATGTGGCTTGAACCTATCAGCGACTCCTTGGAAGACAAATCTGCAGCTGAGAGAGCTCAAGCTTTCTATATGAACTGGTGAGCAATTCCATCACATATACATCCCCAGTACATTAATATCTTATGTCCTTATACGGTCTCCAAGATCACTATGAGTGACTCGATTTTTCTCTAAGAGTATAATGCAGGTTCTTAGATCCAATTGTATTCCAGAGATATCCATCAGAAAGGCATAAAATTCTAGGATTTAATCTGCCTGTATTTTCCAAATCTGGTCTGGAAAAGCTGAAGAATGGATTAGACTTCATTGGTATCAATCAATATAGCAGTTTCTATGTAAAAGACTGCATTTTTACCAAATGTGAACCAGGGCCAGGAAATTCTAAGACAGAAGGCTTCACATTGTGGACTGCACAAAAAAATGGCATCTTCATTGGAGAACCCGTATGTTGTCTGTGTTTGTCATCAATCTCCATAATTTAACTTCTTTGGGGACATAACTAAAGCTTTTTACTTGTGTAGACGGATATAGATTGACTATATATTTACCCTCAAGGACTGGAAAAAGTAGTAACATATATAAGGCAGAAGTACAATAATATTCCAATGTACATAACAGAAAATGGTGAGTTCAAATTGTTCCTTTAACATTTGGTCACATATTTTGTCAAAATTAATCTCATATGATTATCGTCTTGCAGGATTTGGTGAAAAGGACATTCCCCTTTCGTCCACCGAAATTTCAATCAATGATGTCAAGAGGGTGGAGTACATGAACAGCTACTTGGATGCCTTAGCAGTTAGCAGCGGCAGTGAGGTTGCTAAATTATCATCTATCCATGGCTTTCAATTCTTATTACAATCCTTTTGGGCATGTTCTGTTCTCTGTTATCTTCAAAGATTGTTCATATAATAAGTTGGATTTGATAACATTATCAGGAAAGGAGCAGATGTACGAGGATGCTTCGCTTGGTCATTGCTCGACAACTTTGAGTGGAAGGATGGATATACAGTGAGGTTTGGACTTCACCATGTTGATTATGCCACTCTCAAGAGAACTAAAAGACTATCAGCAATTTGGTATAAACAGTTCATTGCTAAACATAAGGCTCAGAAAAGGTATAGTGCTAAAGCATGATCCAGAAAAGGCAGGAGGAATGAATCCTTGGAATGTGTTGATGTTGTAATGCAACAAGTAACTTAGCTTGTAGTAAAGGGGCTTTTGATGCTCCTTTTTGTGAAGTGAAATGGAAGTTGTGTCAATAATGGTGAAGTATTGAAAGTGTTCTCACAAAGCAAAGCAATGGAAACATGGAATATATGATAATAGAAATGGATTCTCCTAACCTAATCACTGGTATATAATTGGCACATTATTAATTAATTAATTTGGAGGGCCAAAATGTTGGTTAAAAGTCTTGACAGGAAATCTAACAGTTGAAAAACATAATCTTTTAAAGGGACCTAGCTATATTCTATCTAATAATGTCATAGATTAGAACCCGATTCAAATTCTTAGGCAAAAATAATTCAAATAGTTCACTCACTTGTTTTCTTTTGATTGCATAACAGTCAAATCATATAGAAATTTTCGGAACCCAAATCTTATAATTAATTAATATGTCCTTTTCTCTGCTTCATGGGTTATAAGAAGAAGCATGCATATAAAATGAAGGTTGTTTCATTTCAGCATAGAGTGAAGAAATATGAAGCTTTTTACAGTATGTAAATCAATAGCTCTCTTAGTTGTGCTACTATTACCTCCTGGTCTCAAAAGTCATTCATCTTTATTTCCATCCAACTTTCTCTTTGGAACTGCATCCTCTTCATATCAGGTCTAAGTTTAACTCTTCACATATATGCAACTTCCTCAATTGCCTTCATTTATGTAATTTCCTTTCATTTTTTGCAGTTTGAAGGTGCATACTTGAGTGAAGGTAAAGGTTTAAGCAACTGGGATGTTTTTACCCACAAACCTGGTGAGTGACTAGTTTTTCTTCTCTTTCTACGTTTTATGATCCATAATATCAAAGCTAAGCTTGGAAATTCATGACTTTTACAACTTTCTCATCATATACACACATTTTGACTTTACACATGAACAAAAAAAAAATGCAATATTCTATCATTTTTTGTTCTTGCAGGAAACATAATTGACGGAAGTAATGGTGATATTGCTGTGGATCATTATCATCGTTATTTGGTATCTTTTTTTTCTTTAAATAGTCTTAGTTCTTAGTAGAGAAATACTTTGGATTAACTTTATACACCTTCTCTGAAATCAATTAATTTGAATGTACCGAAGCCTTTTGAAAAATAATCTAAAACCCTTTTATAATTATTAAAAACAACCCTATCTCGGGTTTTTTTTTTTTAATTTTAATAATTATAAAAGAGCCTTTTAATGGTTTTTAAAAATTTTAAATGTAATAAATTAAACAGTTTTGTGAGAGGTATATGAAAATAACCTAAAATACTCCTAATGTACCATCGTAGCAAAAACTGTAGTTGGAAAATTTTGGTTCTTAATCAGTACAAGCAGAAATAGAGTGACAATAGTTAACATCTAAATTTTAATTTTTTCTTTTAATCACCGGGACTAATCACTTGAGACCTTGAAACGTCGGTCGGGTAAGAGTATCAATGGCTTAGGAGGGACTCAAACTCAAAAACTTATAGAACATATTTTTGCTCTTTTATTATCATATCATCCCGTGATGGTTAATATCTCTCTCTTTGTAATTATTATAACTTTTTCATTTAAATATAGTCGTTGAATAGAATCTAGTTCTTAGACCAATTCAAAGCCTGGCTAATATAATTAAATTGGGTGGATTATATGTCTTGAGTTAACTAATGTTGAAGGTGTGATTATAGATTGTTTAAAGGCCTATGTCGAATCTGATTTTAATTATAAGATTAGATTCCCATATCTTCTATTTTGGTATAGTTTTAGTAATAACGGGAATAATTGAGGGACCTATGATTGATTATTTATTAACAATTTAATTAATCATGCTCCATTTGTCCTACTTATCAGTTATCTATCAAAGAATTATGTCCTTTTTTTTCTGTTATAACTTACTATAAGTCTTTGAGAGTATTTTACTATAAATTATAGAGGTAATAAATAACTTAGTCATTTCTCTTTATTGTTTACCACCTTGTGTAACAAATCTCACTCGAAAAGCGTATTGAGAAAGTTTTGGGCTTATAAAAGGGGAAGTCTCTCCACCTAATAGGTTAATCTTTTGGATGTGAAACTCTCGTCTTTCGACGTCCTGTTAGGCACTCACGTGAGAGTATCCACATATGATTGTGGGTCCACACAAGAGTGAGGTGGGTGGATAGGTAGGGGGTCCCAATTGTGATGAGGGCATCACAGGATTGGGTGGGAGAGAATGTAACAAATCCTACACCGGAAATGTATTGATGAGGTATTGGACTTATAAAGGGACGGAGTCCCTCCACCTAATAGATTAGCTTTTTAGATATGAAACTCTCAACCCTTGACACTAGGCAACAAATGTTAAGACAACTATGTTAAAAGGTAAATATGTATATAGTTAAAAAGACATTGATCCATAGGTTAGATGTAATAATAAAATAATCTTCCTACCGCTTATTTTAACGCTTAAACTGGGATGTATGTTATTTAGTAACCTCAGGAAAACTTTGTTATTTAATCAAACCTCAAGGGGATTAGTGTCATCAACTCTAGGTTGTTTCAAAATGGCATGAATTTATTTGGTGGGTTCCAAACTTATTGAATGTTTATTTGATTTTGCGGAAATAGGAAGACATTAATCTAATGGAGTCCCTTGGAGTCAACAGCTATCGCTTCTCAATTTCATGGGCTAGAATTTTGCCTAGTGAGTTTTGATCCCATTTGCATATCAACTACTTTGTTCTACAAAGAAATGATGTGAAATTTCATGCCATTTAACAGAAGGGAGATTTGGACATATCAACACAGCTGGTATCAATTTCTATAACAACCTCATTGATGCTCTCTTGCTTAAAGGTTTACTTCTATCCTTGTTTTGATTCACAACTGAAATGAAGGCAGACATCTCATCTTCCTCAATTGCCCTCTTTCAGGTATCCAACCATTTGTAACATTGACTCATTTTGACAGCCCTCAACATCTTGAGGACACTTATGGAGCTTGGCTAAGTCCTAAATCACAGTAAGTGTATGCAAACATTACCATGCAGAAACTAGAGTACACAAATCCTAATTTCAACTCATTTTCAACTCATTGGAGTTTATCCTTTATTCCAGGGAGGATTTTGGATATTTTGCAGACATTTGTTTTAAATCCTTCGGTGACCGAGTGAAATACTGGGTCACCTTCAATGAGCCAAACTATCAAGTNTATTTTACTATAAATTATAGAGGTAATAAATAACTTAGTCATTTCTCTTTATTGTTTACCACCTTGTGTAACAAATCTCACGTCGAAAGTATATTGGGAAAGTCTTGGGCTTATAAAAGGGGAAGTCTCTCCATCTAATAGGTTAGTTTTTGTATATCAAACTCTCGTCTTTCGATGTCCTGTCAGGCACCCACGTGAGGGTATCCACATGTGATTGTGGGTCCACACAAGAGTGAGGTGGGTGGATAGGTAGGGGTCTCACCTGTGACGAGGGCATCACAAGATTGGGTGGGGGAGAAAGTAACAAATCCCACACCGAAAATGTATTGATGAGATATTAGACTTATAAAAGGAGGGAGTCCCTCCACCTAATAGATTAGCTTTTTAGGTGTGAAACTCTCAACCCTTGACACTAGGCATCAAATGTTAATACAACTATGTTAAAAGGTAAATATGTATATAGTTAAAAAGACATTGATCCATAGGTTAGATGTAATAATAAAATAATCTTCCTACCGCTTATTTTAACGCTTAAACTGGGATGTATGTTATTTAGTAACCTTAGGAAAACTTTGTTATTTAATCAAACCTCAAGGGGATTAGTGTCATCAACTCTAGGTTGTTTCAAAATGGCATGAATTTATTTGGTGGGTTCCAAACTTATTGAATGTTTATTTGATTTTGCGGATATAGGAAGACATTAATCTAATGGAGTCCCTTGGAGTCAACAGCTATCGCTTCTCAATTTCATGGGCTAGAATTTTGCCTAGTGAGTTTTGATCCCATTTGCATATCAACTACTTTGTTCTACAAAGAAATGATGTGAAATTTCATGCCATTTAACAGAAGGGAGATTTGGACATATCAACACAGCTGGTATCAATTTCTATAACAACCTCATTGATGCTCTCTTGCTTAAAGGTTTACTTCTATCCTTGTTTTGATTCACAACTGAAATGAAGGCAGACATCTCATCTTCCTCAATTGCCCTCTTTCAGGTATCCAACCATTTGTAACATTGACTCATTTTGACAGCCCTCAACATCTTGAGGACACTTATGGAGCTTGGCTAAGTCCTAAATCACAGTAAGTGTATGCAAACATTACCATGCAGAAACTAGAGTACACAAATCCTAATTTCAACTCATTTTCAACTCATTGGAGTTTATCCTTTATTCCAGGGAGGATTTTGGATATTTTGCAGACATTTGTTTTAAATCCTTCGGTGACCGAGTGAAATACTGGGTCACCTTCAATGAGCCAAACTATCAAGTCATCCTTGGTTATCGTTTAGGTGAATATCCTCCATCTCATTGCTCAAGGCCATTTGGAAATTGCAGTCGGGGCAATTCAGAGATGGAGCCTTTCATTGCAGCTCACAATGTTATCCTATCACATGCTACTGCAGTTCATAAATACAGAACCAAATACCAGGTAATAACAGTAACGATATACAATGAAAAGGGTAATAGTTTTATTTTCTAAAAGTTTCTGGATGAGAGGATAGGAGTAGACTTAACAGTATCAGTGAAACTCCAGAGAGAGCAAGGAGGTAGCATTGGGATTGTTTTGCACGCCGCATGGTTTGAACCCATTAGCAACTCCACAGCAGACAAGTTAGCAGCCGAACGAAGTCAATCCTTCTTCATGAATTGGTTAATCCTCAACTTCTCACTCAATTGTTTCACATGACTAAACACACATAATGCATATTTATCTTCATGATTTAAAGATACTGCACTGTTTGATGAAATGAATGCAGGTTTTTGGATCCAATTACATATGGAAAATATCCTGTAGAGATGAAAACCATTTTGGGAACTATACTACCCGAGTTTTCAAGCAAAGATAAAGAGAAATTGAAGATGGGACTGGACTTTATTGGAATCAATCACTACACCAGTTACTACATCCGAGACTGTATCTCTTCTGTATGTGAACCTGGATGGGGAGCTACCAAGACAGAAGGATTTTGCCGACGAAGTAACCAAAGAAATGGTGTCCCCATAGGAGAATCCGTATGCAATCTAAATTCATCACAAACATACTGACTTCACATTCATAAACCAGTTGCTGAAACCTTTTGGCTTTGCAGACCTCATTGGAGTGGCTAAATGTATACCCACCGGGAATGGAGAAGGTTATAAACTACGTGAAAGAGAGATACAATAACATACCCATGTTCATTACAGAAAATGGTAAGTAGCAATCTGCAGAGCTGTCAAGGAAGAAACTTGCTACTTATCCTTGCATACCTTCATTTTCTATTGCAGGATACGGCGAGATAAATACTCCAAATTCCACCACTGAAGAGTATCTCCATGATGTCAAAAGGGTCGAATATATGACTTGCTACTTAGATGCACTGTTGACAGCAATGAGGTAAGGATGTGCTGGATTAGAATTTTTAAACAATCAAATCAAAAGGACATTGATCTGTCATCAAAAAGCTCCCGAGACTTCAGATTCTTTCTACGTTAATGAATATTTCCTTCGCCAATGTCTCTCCCTATTTAAACAGAAATGGAGCAGATGTCAGGGGATACTTTTCTTGGTCCTTGCTAGATAACTTCGAATGGACAAAGGGCTATACAGTAAGATTTGGACTTCACCATGTTGATTATACCACACTGAAGAGGACTCCTAAGTTATCAGCAACTTGGTATAAACAGGTCATTGAAAAGAATAGGATAATCAAATCCCAGACACCAGAGAATATTCAAGAGCATCTCCAGTGTTAGGGTCTTAATCTCCCTCCATGTTTGTGCTCAGAAGAACAATAAACAGAACCAGATACAAAATATCCAGGAAAACGAGCTATTTAAGTTCAGGTTTAGTATTATATTCAAAACATTCTAGAATTATGTATCCACCCTGAAATCAAACGCAAGTTTCACTTGGTATTTGAAAGCAGCATGCTAAATCTTTAGTACAGGAAAGTTCTTTTTCAGTTGAATGAGCTAGACATGTCAAGTACGGTTACTGGATATTATATCAAAGATAAAGTCTGATAGACATCGTTACAACAAAGTGTGAGAGTTTATAGTGTTCTATACTTCTCTCAGTTCTGCATGGCTTGGTCATAAAAAGCAGTTACAAAATTGAAGGTTAGCAATGATCAAACGGAAACTCCTATCACGTCACACCAAGAGCAATGTCACACATAATAGCAATAAATTTAAAAGGCATTAATCTATGTCCTATGATATCATATTATGAGCAGCTCCTAAAGGCATCAAGCATATCGTCACAGATCATAATGGTCATAGATAAAGTAGAAAACTAATATAGAGATGGACGACACTGCCCAAAGAGAGAGAGAGAGGAGGTCAGTAGCAAGTAGAGGTGGAACAAATGGGTCGGGTTAGGCGGGTCAACCTTAACCCGGCCCGTAATGAAGAGGGTTTAACCCGGCCCGCCTTAATGGCAGGCCGGGTTGAGCCCAACCCACCAGCAACCCCCCGGGCGGGCCGGGTTGCAAAATGGCAACTCGACAGCCCGCGGGTTGCTATTTTGTCCTCTCTGCAGGAGGACCACCAACCGACGGGTTGCATGCGGGTTGGCTGTTGCCAACCTGCCGAGTTGGCTGTAGCCAACGGCCAACCCGCCTAAAAATAAATTAAAAAATGTAAATTAATTATTTTTTAAATTACCCTTTTACCCTTGAAAATAGCGTTTTATAGCCGTTGGAGAGGTCTTTTTCGTCATTTTCTTTCCCATTTTTCTATAAATTGGCCCTAAACTCTCATATTTTTCTCACAACTCAAATTCTCTCATTCTCTCATATTCCTATTCTCAATCTCTATTCTCTCAATTATATTATTCTAATCTTTTTGTTATCAATTTGCTCTTATTTTAATATTATTAGTTTTTACAATTTCAATTCATATTTCCAATTTCTAATTCTAATTTCCATATTCCAATTTCTTCTTTAATTTTTATTTCTTCTAATCAATTTTTTTTCAAGTACAATGGATAGATATTTCTCTCCCATTAATTTCAATGATGAAGAAAACTATCTAGTCCTATCCCACTAATTTACTATGAATGCAGGAGATTCAAATAGTCCCGCTGTCCAATCCCAGTCTCAGAATCATACACCTAAAATATGCCGTCGATTCCAACAGCTCCTGGTGGTTCTAAAAGTCGTCCTCGTAATCGTAGCCTCGTCCAACTCCATCTCAAGTTGAGATGGGTTCATCAACTGCCGTCGAAACCGAAGACAGCACACATCAGACGTTTGGGCGCATTTTGACAAGTTTTACGAACAGAAAATGGCGTTCAAGTCAAGAAAGCAAGATGCAAATATGTAGAAATGTTTATAAAGCTGATTCAGGTAATGGTACTAGTACTTTAAAAAAGCATGCTAATAATATATTAATAACATGGAAATAGAGAAAGCAATCAAACTCAAATACTAAATGGGTACTATTGGCGTTATAATTCTGATGTATAGGGAACAGTTAGCTTATATATTACGCAGCTGATCAACCTATTAATATGGCTGAAGAAATATTTTGAAAGATTTGTTCAAAATTCATTTTTAAGATTTGTTCAAAATTCATTTTTTCAGGATTTAAAAGTATTTTAAAACTGCAACTAGAAATGATTTAATAAAATTGTTTAAAAAATGAAATTAGAATTAAAAAATAAATTTCATACTTGTCATATTAGTGTGGCTCTAACTGCCGATATTTGGAAGATAGAACTAAACAAGATTATATTTGTGTGATTAGTCATTTTTGATAATGAATTAAAATAAATAAATCTTTATTAGGATTTAGATTAATGGATATGGATCATAGTGGTTTAGAAATCATAATAAAATTGTTGAAGTTTTAGAAGATTATGATATTTTGATAAAGTGATAAGTTTAACTTTAGAATGCAAGTTCTAATAGTAAAGCTATAGATTTTTTCAAACTAATATACCTTATATAACAATTTGAAGTTTTTTCACCAACGTTGTGCATGTCATGTATTAATTAATTGTGAAAAGTGGTATGAAAACAATTAAACAAAAATATTGATAGAATTAGGGAATCTTTAGCTTGGATTACTAGTGTAATAAAATAAATGCTGAATTTCAAGAAGCTTGTATAAATCAAATATGTCTCCTAGAATTTTGCATTAGATATGCCTGTTAGATGGAAAATACTTATTTAATGCTTGATTCATGTTTACCTTATGCTAATATAATTAGTTATTTTGTAGCAAGTAATAGGTCCTCATTATTTGATAGAAAATGATTGGAAGATAGCTAAAGTATTTCATTCTTTTCTCAAACGTTTTTACCAACCACTTTACAACTTTTTGGTGTGTATTATCCTACTAGTCCATTGGTATATATACAATTATAAAAATTTCCGAGTTATTTACAAAAAACAAAGACAATGAAATTTTAATGCACCAATAAAGGCAATGCAAAAAAAAAAAATTTGAAATATGGGAACCCATCCTTTTCTTATTGTTTAGGTGTATATTTGATCCTAGAATTAAATTAGCACGTTTAGAAAATGGTTTTGACAATTTAAGTGAAAATTTACAAACCGAATCATATGTCAATCAAATAGGAAGGTAAAAAATAGTCTTTCGAAGTATATTTCCAATATGAAAACAGGTATGGGAACCGCAGTCGCAAAGAGGCGAAATATCCAGAGAAGCTGTATCAGAAGAAACATAAATGAAGACTTATACTCTTGAAATGCACTGAATAGGCCGAAGAGGACCGAATCCGAAGCACAGCCACAACTTCCTCTTCAGAAGCACCACCACCAATAAACAACAACTAATATACTGTCCTCCATGGAGTCGCAGAGTAATGAACTTCAACAATATTTGGCAACCCCCGAAATGTTTACAGCAGGTCACTTTGATATTACAGTATTGAGAGCCAGAAAATGTATTTTTTCGGTATTATCAAGACTTGCCTGGATGTTTTCGCTGTTCCTGTCTCAACCGTCTCATCCGAACAAACATTAGTGCAAGTGGAAGGATTTTAAATGAAAGGAGGACTAAACTTGCTCCAAAATGATTGAAGTCCTCACATGTCTTCGAGATTGGAAACGATCACGCCATCAAGATCAATACGAGGTTATCGACAATACTTTAGTAGAATCATTTCAATTTTGTAAATAGATGATACAGATGAGTGAGGTCCTAGTGAACCACCCCCAAATTAGTTGTTTTGTAAAATGTAATTTATAAATTAATTGTCAATTATTGCACTCTTTTTTCTTTACCAAGTTTTTCCCATTGGGTTTTTCTTGGTGAGGTTTTTAATGAGGCAATAATTGTTATAATTTCTTATTTTATTTTTTAATAAATGAATAAGTCTAATTTTTCTTATATTACAATTTTATTGTTTAAAATTGAATTAATATTTGAAATGTTAAACAAAAAAAAAAAAATTGAATTGAATTGAATTATTGATATTTGAAAGCAATAAATCATCCTTACAAAGAAGTCTACAAGAAACTTACAAAGTGAAGGAAAAAACGGAAAAAGAGAAAGAGAAGAGAGAGAAATGATGAAGATGAAGGGTGGAGGTTAACTTTGTATGCCTCCTTTGTAGGCTTCTTTGTAAGATTAGCAATGCTGTTTGAAAAGTTAACTAAAAACATTATTTGAAAAGTTAAATTAAAAAAACAAAAACAAAAAACAAAAAAAAAAACAAGAAATCGGGCTAACCGGCCCGGACCGCCGCTAACCCGCGGGTTAGGGTTGGCGGGCCGGGCTGGGCAGCCATTTTCCCCATAATGGGGGCCTAACCCGGCCCGCCAAAGAACATAACCCGAGGCCGGGCCGGGCCGGGTGGGTCAATTTTCCACCTCTAGTAGCAAGGCATGCTTTCATTGCCTTTTTGTTTATCAAATATTGAGTTTTCCTTTTGTCCCAAAAGAAAAAGAAGGAAAAGAATTTTTTTTTTTTTTTGTTTGTGCTGTATACTGTAAGTCTGTAACCACCATTATGTTCTATATTCTCTTTACACACCATTGAATTGCTCCAATGTAAAATCTGTGTTTAGTTAAATCCTGCCTTTGACAAGTTATGCCTGCACACATGATGCTCTAATTGACTAGCAATACAGAAGAAAAAAAAAAACAAAAAATTTTGCCAATTGAAGTCAGGAGGACACATAACACAATACAATTAAAAATAATGGCCTCTATGGTTGATCTTCATCTTTCAAACCTGAACTAAACTTTCTTACATCTCCACCGGGAGAGCCAGCCTCATAGCAGCACTCACCAATCCCATGAAATTTGACATGCTTGAAGACCAATGGCAACACTAGACTCCTTCCATGCCGAGAACCTGAACTAAACTTTCTTACATCTCCACCAGGGAGAGCCAGTCATAACAGTGCTCACCATCATCCCATGAAATTTGACATGCTTGAAGACCAATGGCAACACTAGGGTTTCCATGCCGAGAAATCCACTCCATGATAGCCATTCCTTATCATTCTCCGTTGGGTATTGTTTTGCACATTTGCCAAAGGGATTAAGCCCGGAGTAGAGATCTCTGCCAATGCAAGCCTGGCATGTACATTGAGTCACCCACTATTGGTGCACCACAGGCAGCCAATTGCGCTCTCACCTGCATCATATATTTAATTATTGTTAACTATATGGACCCCTTTAAGAAGTCACTTCCTCATCTAACACCAAATGTTTTGAAACCATTAAAAACCTTCCTGAGAGATCACTTTTTGGTATACAATCACTAAAACCCCCGAAAAAATTATCAAAACCTTATTATTTGAGTAATTGTTTGACATTACTGGGTGTCAAGTAAAAACTAATCCTTCAGAGGGGTCAAAATAAATTCCTTTACTATCTGTGTAAGAACTTAGCCTCCTCTTATGGTTAAAGAAAGTAAAAGTTATTTTCATTTTTACTCTACTGTAGCATATTATGGAATAACAAAGCTCTGATAGCAATCCTTGTTTTCTGGGAAATGTTGCCCATTACTTTATTAGGGAAGCAAAATAACTGAAAGTCAAGCCATTAGAGCAATTCTAATACTTCAGTTTAAAGTTAATCCTTTTCAGTAAAATGTTACCCATTGAGTAACACACTTTCTCAACTTTCTTGTGTTCTGAATTAATTTTTCCAACCCTGAAACTATCTGAAAATTTCTGCTTCTGCTGTATTATACTTCTGAACAACTGAATCTTCCTTTTCAAGTCAAGAAGCAGTCTTGATTGACTAGATAAAAATTAAAAGTATACATTATGAAGTATAAGGAACGCAAAATGGAATCCATGCAGAAGTGAGGAAAAGATATATTAAGAAACATAGACGCAAATTCTTAAAAGTTGTCACTATAACTGCTGGATAAATAAAAATCATATCAAATAAAATAAAAAATAATAAAAAACAAGGGAACAAAGGGACAGCCGAAGAACCTGATGAGTCCGACCAGTCAACAGGTTGATTTTACACTCATATGCATGATGTTTTGAGGGCCATTCACAGCCTTCAATACAATATTTCTCTTCAATACTAGCATCTGGCCAGGGAACCTTCTTACATTCCATAACCTCAAGTTGACATAAATACCATCCTCTAATAAAATCTGCATGTCGTAAAACTTTGGTTCAAATCCAAGTCCCATAACCAGATAAAACAGAAAATGCTTGTTTAACCACAGAAGTTCCAGAAAGAATGTTTTAAGCAAGTGAATTTTTTAACTTAAATTTCCACATGATTGTATCCATGAAATTACAGTAGCTATAAGATTGAAATCCTTTCAATGGAGTATCTGAGGGACTTAAATAAGTTGACAAATAAGCTTAAATCAGAATCGCCAATTAAGAGAAAAATAAAATAGGCCAAAGCTTTATGGAGAAGTAGTCATGTCCCATGCAATCAAGACACCTCACCTACCATATCATATGGTAAAATATATCGGTTTCCTAATTTCTTCAAGTTTCCTCAGTACAAATTGACATTATTTAGCGTAATTATTTATTTCTGGAAAAAAAAAAACAAAAACAAAAACTAAAGGGGAGTGACATCATATGGACACAAGAGTGTGTCATGAGATTGTAGAGCCCTATAATTTCTTTCCATAATGAAAATTTCCATGTTAATATACATGCTAAAGGCCTTACATCAAACTGAAGATTACACTAACATAAACTCAAGGTCTGCCAACTTCATTCCAACCAATTACCTATAATAATTGCAAAGAGTGAAGAGGTTCCTACCTTCTGAAACAAGTCTTGGAGCCATATTAACAGGACGCATATAATGTGTTATCAATCCAACTGGCATAGGTGCAGCAGCAAGAGCAAGATAAAGCTTCTTCACTTTTTTCTCCTAGTGAAGATGAAACATACAACTTCAAAGTAAAGGACATTGAGAAATCAACATAAAGCTTACTGAAACACACTTCTGAACTATACACAATAAAAAAAAATACTAGCTCAGTTTGTGCGGTACTTATTTAAATCTGAAGGAGATACCCTGGTGGAGCATGATCTGATATTTTGATTGTTACACTGCCCTTTCACAAGAAAGGCTACCTCAATCATATCTATCCAGAAATTGAGATAAAATACTTACTCTGATTTTTCCATGGAAAACTCCACAGTACTCCTTCGTCCTAGCTAACACAACACTGCAGAAGAATTATTAATCATGGATTACTCTCTGTGAATAATAACTGACCACAAATTACTCTCTATATCAAAAATAGTTATGACAACAATGATGGTAGAATTTTATAAGATCATAATACCAGCCCTCGGTGCAATTATCAATTTGATGGGTGGTCCTCAATGGAGTAGTTAATTCCAGGGCACGAGTTGCAAACGTTGCACAACTTTCTTCTATATTGTCGGTAGTTCCTCCTACCTGCATAGTAGACATAGAATCGTAGATGCAATAAGAAATGGTTTACTAGTAAAAACAGCAATTAAAAGTTACCAAATAAATGATTTCAAGTCCACATATGAAGCAAGAATGCTTTAATATCAATTTGAACTAAAGCAAGAACTTGGGCCTTTATTTCATAAGGTTCTCTAGCCCGTCACAGCCACTTTATTACCACACATCAGTAGCATAGAAGGGCACAGGATGATATGTGCTGACTTTAGTACACAAAATATTACAATATTTGAGTAAGATTAGACTGATATCAACTACCAAAGTTCACCGCCACCATTGAAGTCATACTTCTCATCCTTCATTAACTTGTTGAGATCAGTATATAACAGAACTGAGATATTTATAGTTCAATAACATACCGATGTCCCAGCAGGTTTGTCCAATATTATATAGGATTCAGCTACCGCCAAAATTCTTGATTTCCAGTCAATTACATAGCACCTAAAAGAATTCAAACGTCAAAAAGTATAATGCCTGTTGAAAATGACAATAAACATCCACCAATCATTGCGGTTTACCTTGGGAAGCGTTTTGGGTGTACATGCACACGTAAGTATGTTCCAGCTTCAACAAACTGGTCAACATGAGTTATACGGAAAGTTTTCTGTGCCTCTCGTATTGTTTTTCCTTTAATAGAACCTCTTTTACTGAGAACTGATGGATCCGTTACTTCTTTAAATACCCTAATTTGTTCTTTAGTCGCAGTTGGTGGAGGCTGTGGACATACAAGGGCATAATAAACAGCTCCAAAATGGATGAGATCTGCAACAAACCTTCAAAGAATGAAATTTTCTTCATAAGAGAGAAGTTCAGAAATCCAGCAATGATATGTTATACTATCAATCTTAACTCTAATAAAATCATAAAAGAGAACTCACAGTGGAGGAAGATCGAGTACTTTACAGAGGTACTCCAAAACAGGCCCTCCTTCGGAAACAACTAAGTGTTCAATTCTTGGTGGTCTATTTTCTGAGGGACATGGAAGCAAGCGATGATATTCAGGGTAGCTGAAACAACATAATTTCAAAATTAGTGAGCTAGAATATTAATCAGAAAAAAAAAATTAAATAAAGTTAAACAATCCACATATTTTCACCCATTAGGAAGAACATAAATAAAAAAATAAAAATAAAAAAAATGCTTAATTCAGCACTATGAGTCACAACAACATTAGAAACTTACACTTTCTTGTTAACACTGATATTATTGCTTAGTTGTATAAAAGAAGCAAATGTTTTTTTTCAAAATATAGCAATCAATAAAGCAAACGAGAGCTAGACCATGTAAACCTCAAGCACTGAAAGTTTAATTTTATCTAAAGTTGATCTTCATTAAGTTTATAGAAGGTTTCGGGTTTCTTAACAAGTTAACAAGTTATTACCCGATAAAAATAAAAATAAAAAAAGTTCAATCTGCCAATGATAAGAACCTCAAAAGCGTGTCTAAAATTATGAATAAGTGCCAACCCATGAACTGGAAGAATTGGCTTTTCATTTACAGAAGAATTGGCTTTTCATTTACAAGCATATACTGAGAAATTTATTTACTTTCAGTGACTTCTCGTAATTTAGCTAAGAATGAAAGAAAGAATTGAAATTTGGAGTACCCTTTAAAAGAAGAAGGTGCAGAAGTGGCAGTGTGCGTGAAAGCATGAGCATGAGCCAAGATTGTCTTGCTTGAACATAAAGACACAACCACCACCGCATTCTCGTGGTTGTGGTGATTCTTTTTCGGAGAATAAACGTGGGTTGATGCTAAAGTGGGCAGGAGAGACATGGATGCGCCCAGACTCCGGCAACTGCTAGCGAAGATCGAAGACAAAGTTACTGTCACTGAACCCATTTTCAATTTGAATGAGATCGATGTCAGTACTTGGCCATTTTGTTGGAGGACGTTTAAGTCAGGGATGGGCCTAACTTCAAGTTGGGTCGGTTTTTAATTAGCCCATTAATTTGTTTTGCAGCTTGGTTTATGTAATAAGATAGAAGTACAAAAATAATCTCTCTAGCAATTCCCATGCTGTATTTGAATATATAGCTCTCCAAAGAAATACTTTTCTATAATTTACAACCATATTCCATACTTATTATTCAGTACCATACCGTATTTATAAACAATACAGCTAATTATATGAGCTATGGGCACTCAAATAATGTGGCCACAGCTCTTTTTAAAGTTTCTCTCATAGTGAAATTAAACCAAGTACTCATTGAATAATAACGTAGCTAAATCTTCAATAAGATAAATCCAAGAATTTTGATCTTCCCCCACATTACAGAAACTGCAATCAGTCCTCCAACTAAGACTCTAGCACAAGACCTTGGAATGGGGGCTTTTCCAAGTGCAGCTCCAATCATTCCCAACACCACCATTGACAAAGAAGTTGCAATCATGGCAATGGAAAACCTCACATGAACATCATTTACAAACACACCTGCCACCAATGGCGCTGCGCCCCACAACAGATAAGCTAGCGAAGACGCCATAGCCACTTCAGTAGCGCTTGGAATCACCCACGTCTGCTGCCCTCCTCGTCCAACTTTCATATGTCTTTCCGCTTGAAATGCTATTGTATCCACTTGTGTATACACAGAAACGAGTTCTATGATCGCCATTCTCATAGCACCTGCAATTAATCCCACCGACCCTGTTATTAGCATCGCTTTATTTTTGTCTGCACCAGTTCTCTGTGCAACCTTTTCTGCACCCATCATCAATAATGTTGTCAAAACTAATCCTTCCATGCCTCCCAACACAACCGCCCTCAGCCATTGCGCCCTTTGAGAATAATCAAAATCCTGCCCTTGGCTCCCCATGAAAGTCATAATGAAGATTATGGTGTATAAGTTTGGATCATCATTGTAAATGGATTAGAGAGTATTTATAAGGGAAAGATGGGTATGATATTGAGGCTTAGTAAGACATAAGCAATACAGGAGTTAACACGTTTGATAACATTCATGGCAACAGTATTGAGAAGTGGTGTTAGGGAATTGTGATTGACACCACACAAGCTAATTGAGAAGAGAAAAGAAACTTGCATAAGTAATCTAACATGATTAGAGTTAATAAATTGAAGTTTACCAAAATATATCAAACAAAAAATCAGTAACCTTCTTTTTAAAGGTAATCCCATATTGTAAACCACTGTTGAATTCATAAATACTAGGCTTGGCAAGGAATTGACGTGTGAAAGATTGTCAATACAATACCTACCCAGAAAGTGAAGCAATGTATAATAAGACAAATATAATGAAGCTCTCACTACTTATTGGGTATTACCAGAAAAATAGGAAGAATGAATAGAAAAAAATACCTGATTGAAGTGAACTACTTTGAACAGAAAATCCATCACGTACGTCCTCTTTTTATTTGTTAGCATAAAGTTGGCAGGCAAGCCTATTGATTGTGTTCTTCAACTAATTAAGATTTCCTCTTAGGTTCAGTATTGCAATATTGTCACACACACACACACACACACACACACACACACACATATATATATATATATATATCTCCAAAAAGGTATGGTTTTATCCAAATTTTAGGTGAAAGCTAACACAGTAATGAGCTTTTTCAGCAAAAATGTGTTATTTTAAATTATAAATTAAATTAAATTAATCATTTTAACTAATAATATCACACATGACAATCACTTGATAAACAGCGCTCTAAATATACAACTATTTATTTTATCATTAGATTGTAGAATTCTTAACACCAATATAAGTCCTATTATACGTGTATTATTTTTCTTCTTAATTTGATACAAAAAAATGTAAACAAACTTAGTTTTGTTGATAAATTTATTGAGTTTTCCTCGCTTATTATTATTTGATGAAATTTATTACTTTATCAGGGATTTATTTGACAAAAATATTATGCGAAACAATTTGATGCCTATGTTACCTGAAGTCTCATATGTTGATTTATCCCACATCTCCAAGTTTAGGCTGTTATGGTAGGTATGTGGTTAGACACCCCTTCTTCCTAAAACTAGCTTTTGGGAGTAAATTCTATCCAAACTCATTTATCATGGTATTAAAGCCACATGTTTGAAAGCAATTATGCATGGATGTAGCCTGCAGGCTGCAAGAGAGAAATGATATTAGAAGTTGAATTTGTCCTACATTGCCAAGTTTTTGGAATGTTATGGTGTACACATATGATTAGACACACCCTCGTCCATTGACCTAACTTTTGGGAGTAAATTCTACTCAAGCCCATTTATTTATCATGGTATTATAGCCACACATTTGAAGCGATGATGGGTTTGGACCTTGACCTTGCAAGCTAACTTGAGAGAGGGTGTTAGAAATTGAATTTATCTCACATTGCCAAGTTATTGAACTATTATGGTGCATATATGTGCTTGGGCACCCTTTTCCTTTGACCTAGCTTTTGAGAGTGAGTTATACATAATCCCATATATCATGGTATTAAAATCACACGCTTGAAACTGATGATGAGTTTGAATCATAGCCCTACATGCTAGGCGTGAGGGAGCATGTTAGAAGTTGAATATGTCACATATTGCCAAGTTAATGGACTATTATGGTGTATATATGTTGTTGGACACAATCCTCCATTTATCATGTTATTAGAGCGACATGTTTAAAGGTGGTTATGAGTTTAGACCTCGACCTTGCATGCTACTTGTGAAGGAAGGTATTAGAAGTTGAATTTGTCCCAGACTACAAAGTTGTTAGACTATTATTATGTATATATGTGGATTGGGTACCTCCTCCTTTGTGCTAACTTTCAGTAGTGAGTTTTACCCAAACACATTTGCCATGGAAAATATTTTTTTCTTTTTTTCTAAACTACAACTTTTGTAAACAGAAAGAATATAACAATAATATAGTATTAGTATATTTTTGCTTTCACATTGATTGATTACACGGTTTCAATTGAAAGCCTATTAACAAAAAGGAAACAAAATTACAATGAAAGAAATTACAGTAGAAAATTATGTAGAAACCCCTTAAACACAATAATTACACCTGTAAAACCCTAATATGGCAAATGCTCTTAGAGTGGGTGAATAGAGAATAAAAATTTAATGCAGAATAATAAAATCTCCAACTATCCAACAACAAGAACAATAAATAACTTCAAAGATAAGCAATAAATAAGCAAGTTAATGAAAAATAATAATAAATCAAAGAGAGAAGAGAAATGCTCGAAGATTTATGGTGGTTCGAAGTTATATCCATAAGCTTCTTACATCTACTTCTTCAAGGCAACCTCCTTGAAGTTCCACTAGAATCAGATTTTGCCTTTACACTCGTTTTCACAGGATTTCTACTTTACAATAGTTTGACAGGATTTTGCCTCTAGATTTACAAGATTTCACCCAAAGATAATTGATAAAATGTTTTGTGAAAGATTACCTCTAATCTAGGCTAATACACAATGGTTTCAAAGATTCTCTCTAAAGATGTAAGTTTTGCACAAATGAAGATTGATTTTGAGCTCTATGGTTTGTAAGATTGAATGTTGGATAATACAATATTATTTCTCTTTAAATTCTTGCAATAAATTGTCCTTTTGAAGACTCCACCAACCCTTGATCAATTTTAGTCGTTGCTACATTTAATGCACTTCTGAAAAGCTGTAGAACCCAGAGGAACAGACGTTCCAACATCAGAAGCAGGCGATCCTAACACCAACCGTCGCTTTATTTTGAAAAGTAGGGTTTGGAATAGTCGTTCTCTTATGTGGGATGATCGTTACCCTATTGCAAATGGGCATTACCCTATCGTAGACTGGCGTTCCATGTTGGACCACTTAATGTCCACAAATTCCAAAACCTTGAATGACTTCCTAGAATGGCGTTATTCCTTCCTGGAACGACTTGAAGAAAACTTGGAACAAACGTGCGTCAAGGTCGTTCTTGATTTACTTGAAGTTCTCTCAACCTTAACTTGAGCTCGAATATTCTAAGTCTAAAATCTTGCCTTTAGCTTGGAACAAGCATTCCATGGAATGGGTGTTCCTCTTCATATTGCAAAAGTGTCAAGATTCTAGAGCTGTGGACGACTTGATGGAACAACGTCGTTCATGTGGAATGGGCTAAATGACTGGTCATTCCTACTTACATCACAAATGATGTTCAACTCGCGGATGTGTATTAACCTCTCTTTCTATGTTTAGAATGGCTAGCTGAGATGGCCATGCTGATTGGTTGTTCCAATTCTGACTTGAATTTTGCTTGAAATGATTTTTTCTTCATTTTGGACAGAGTCGTGAACAGGCATGAAGGACAGTATTGTTCTAAAATGGAATGGCTTGACTGGAGATTATTTTCCAAAAAAAATTGGATGGGATAGGCGTCCCATCTGCGTGGATAGTTGTTTCACCTGAAAAATCTACATTTTGTTTTGGTTATGACTTATGTCATACCATTGCACCTTGTTAATATATTAATCACTCTTTTTGATTAATTTTGGTACATCAAAACACATGAGGGCTCAACAATCTCCCCATTTTTTATTGATGACAAAACTGAGCAATATTGAATTCCACAGTTTTGTTTTATATGAATATGAAAATTTATTGTAGTTCTTGCCATCAAATTGTGAACTTCCTCAGCTTGCATCAAGGTTAATAGTTCTACTTTTTAGTACCCGTTTGAATTACATATAATAAGAGCCAATTCAATGAAAATGCTAACAATTTCCTTAGATTGAAAATTTTGAGCTATAGCAAAAATAATCAGTTACAATGAATGGCAATTGCAGAGATTGTGGAGAACATGTATAAGAATTATATTATGATCAAATACTACCCAAATAAAACATCATTTCCAAATTCTATATATGAGTTACAAGTCCAATATTCAATTGAAAGATACATTCAATTATCAGTTCCTACATTTGTAAGAAGTAGACAGAATAGACAAATGTTTAGCAGACTTGTAAATATCAACTTGTACAATTACAGACTAAGCACTTCTTGTGATGTGTTGAGTAAATAACAAAAGAGAATAGGAAGAGGAAGAGTAATGAGTCCAAGAAGGATTGAATTGCACTTGGAAAAAACTTATGTGTTCATTTTGCTTCTTTTGAATAAAATTACGAGGACCAATAATAACTTTGTCAAGCACTATAGATGAAAAATTAAGATAGTGTAAGTGCTTTGAGTTTAGTTTCATCAACAAGAATAGTTCTTCAACACTAATATGAAGATAGATGGGATTCTTTCTTTGAAAGTTTGATAAGATTTTGTCAAAAGCATGGTGTTGTTATGACTAATATAAGTGCTTGATATATGGAAGGTACAAGGTGTTCTTGTCAACCGAAATATAATATTCCAATTGAGCATTACTATCACATTGATATCATTGATACTATTGAAACAGTGATAATTTGTTGGAAATTCAGTTGAAAGTTAGTTTGTTTTTTGAATGTGTTTTGGCGCCAAGCAGCAACTGAAGTCCTCTCTGTTGTCGAAATTGAAGCTGTTGTAATGGTTGATTTTAGTGACATGTTTAGGTGAAATCAGCTTAGATTAAGCTTGTATTAGTTGCAAACATAGTTTTAAATTTTAAATGGTTGTATGGTCTGTTGTAGTTGGTGAAACAGTCAGTATTTTGGTTGTATATATTGTAAGTTGCAGTGTAATGAAAATTCAGTTCAACTCATTTTCATTTCTCCTTTATCTTTCCTTAGAGCTCACTAGCTCTTAACACCAAAAATTGGTATTAGAGCCACACAAAAACAACTTGAAATCTATCTTGCATTCACTCATCAATCTCAGCTCAAGAACACCTCCCATCTCAGCCCAAAATAGTCTGCACCTGTCCATTTATTTT